ACTGCTGCTGCTGCTGCTGCTGCTGCTGTTGCTGCTGCTGCTGCTGCTGCTATTGCTGTTCGTGATTTGGCTGCTCATGGTTCTGGGCATGCTCCTCATGAACGAATTACCGCTGCTGCTGCTGCTGCTGCTGCTGCTGCTGGAATGAACCCCACATAACGACAGCCAGCGCCTCCCGCTGCTGCTGCCGCTGCTCCTAATGCTGCTGCAGCACAAGGAAGAGAGACATTGTGTAGAAAAAGACAAACAGGCAGGAAAACGGTGTGAATAACACGCCGCTGCTGCAGGTTCTATTGGTGCTGAGGCTGCGGCTGCTGCTGCGGCTGCTGCTCGATTCGGTGCTGCTGCTGCTGCTGCTGCTGCAGGTAGGCGCCCCACAGCGCTTGCTGCTGCCTGCCAGGGAGGCACGAGGCAACGCAAGTGACATGCAGACGTCATCGCTGCAGCTGCTGCCTCTGCCGCAGCAGCAGCAGCTGCTGCTACTGCTAATACTTCAGGGACGCTTGCTGCCTCTGCGCATGGGATCCTGTGCTCGGCTTCACTCTTGATGCGCGTGAAAGCTGCAGCAGCTGCAGCAGCAGCTGCGGCAGTAGCGGCAGCTGTGTTGCTCGAAGCTTCAATATGAATACCCCTCTCCCCCGGCTGGGGCTGGTGGCCTCCTGGTGGAAAAGGGTTTTAATTAGAGCCCCCTCCACTCCTCAAGCGATTCCGTGCTGATATATGTGTTTGCAAATTCAGCAAAGAAGGGTGTCTGAAGCAACAACTAAATATATCAACAAACCCTGCACAGCTGGAGTCCGAGAGCATGCGCCGGCAGCAGCGGCTGCAGCACGGGGCTGCGGCGCGCTCGCGGGTCTTGTGTTCCAAACTATTGATGAACTCTAATAACAAATGGAAAAACGTGAAATAAAGGGAAACAAAAGTCCTCAGCTGCGCATTCAACTCCGAAGTGACGCCCGCGCCGGGGTGGGACCCACAGGAGGCTGCTCGGTTCTAGACGGCCGTTGATCTGCGGCGATCTCGCATTTATTTTCTTATTTTTTGTTTTTATTTTCTTTATTTGACAAT